TCAGGCGAATGAGCTGCCCATATAGTTTGCGTTCTGCAACTGATGAGCTGACCACCAAAGCATTGCCTAACCCATTTCAGCATATCATTTGCAGTGTTAGGGTGGTATTAGCTTTTTGAAACCACTGCTTAATTATCTCCTTAGATGTCCCTTCTGGTGCTTAGTGACATCCAAAACTTGGTGAGAACTTACTGGTCCTTGTTCATGGTAGTTGCAAGTCCCCAGTCACCTTTGAACCAAAAGGGACTGATGATTCCATGTTTCCTCATTGCCACCCAGGGAGTGCATTGTTCAAAATGCAATGGATGCTGCAACACTTCACCAGGAGGATGTAAGCCCCAGTAGCAATTGTTCATGTAACAAACTTGTCCATTCAGAAAGAAATGTGTGTAGGAGGATCATCAACAGCTTTGTTCGCCGGATTGAATTGTGCATAGAGATGAGATTTGCACATTTGGGGCATGTTTTGTAAGGAGCTGTAGTTTTTGACTCAATTGGTAGATTATTCTCAACCTTTCACAACAAAATCTACATTGAATGAACTAAATAATTCTGAAATTTCGAGGCAAAATATGCAAATTTGACAGAGTTATTCAACTTTCTTACGGTCCTGTTTTTTTTGGACACCCTGTAGTTTGTTTAAATTGTAGTTTAGATATACCTGATTTGGAACAGTATAACCTAATAAAACAAGTCTCAAAATGATCTCAGCATCGTTCTGATGAAAAAATGAAGAAAACCCGTCTTCCCATTGTAGTTTAGAAACATGTAAGCCTAAGGGCAAGTAACCCGACATATATCAAGTTACAAGTGAGGAAATCCCCAACACCCCGGCCATCGATTTCACTTGCGGGCCTGGTAATTTGATATTAAGGTTTTAATTAAGGCTCTATTTAAGTATTATCTACATTATAATATCTGAAGGTTACATTTGTTTCTCATTTACACTTAGGATTCACAAGCGTATGCAAAAACATATGATACAAAAAAGCTTACTAGTACAAGAATCTGCGGACTCCGAAAGTCGAAAGATATATATCCTTCAAACACAAGCCTCCAGAGAATCTGGAAGAAGGAGGTACAAGATCTGGAGGCCTTTGTTCCGAGGTTGAAAAGATACATAGCACAAAGTGTTAAATCGGATTATATTTGTGAGAACAATATGAATAAAGCCGAACAACTAATTAATATTTACCCTGATACCCCTGCTTTCATAAATCTTTTTAAATGTGTTTTCCATTTTCTTTTCAATATATTACCAGGGGACCTAAAGAAACAGAACTATTTAATAAATAAGCCACTTATGCTTTGACAGTCACCGAGTCATCGTCATTTAAGATATATTACAAAAACCTTTTATGAAAGAAGATTCAAAGTCTAATTATAAAATTATGTAAATATACATTTTAACGAGGCTTGATGAATTTACCTAGAGAGTTTAAGAGCGCCCGTGAGGATATCTGATTCCTATTTCAGACTCTAATGAATCAATGCATCCTGTATGTCTTACAAACATATCACGTCACAATCTTTAACAAATTGAGGGGATATGTTTTTCATGCAATATACTCTTGTAAAATGGATAAATCAGAGAATATGTGATGCGAGATATTTTTAAAGCCAATATATCACAATATCAGAAAACATAATTGTCGCTGGAAATACATCAACACGTACTGACGTTAATTTGAAAGACAATGAATTGGGTTCTATTAGAGTCCTTCTAAAATACAATGATATGTGTCTCCCCGATTAAAAGGTTATGCCTCGTTACTACAGCGTAGACTTAAATAGTAATTTAGTAATATTCGGATCTTGAGTGTTGCGCATGCGTTCCCCGAAGAATTACATGTTGTTTAGTATCTGTAGTCATCGCCATTATTCGGTATACATGAGAAAAATTACTTAGAAGTTGAATGGAATTAATATCTTAAATTCTATATCATGATCGGTGTATGGTGGCTTTTATTGAAGGAATAAAGAGCCTCGTATCATTCTTGATTGAAAATTCAAAATGAAAGGATGAGTGCATGCCCTGATTCATACACATAATTCATTTTCATTTTCAGGATTGATTAGTACACCTACGTATAAAAGCTTTTAAATACTCTAAGCTGATTGGCTGAGACACACTTTGCATATTTGAATGTAGATTAATTCATTCAAACATCAACTACATTTTAAATACGATGAAACCAATCCTTCAAATTGCATATCGATGCATTGGTAAGTTTAATCTTCATAAAGGGTGAAATCTTTCTAAAGCTTGAATGTAAAGATGAATAAATGTTTCTTTGTTAAGTGGTGGACTGGTGAGAGTCTTCAATCAATGTTCAATGGATGTCTGTCGGCGAGAGATTAATAGAAGACAAGAAGGATGAAACTTAATCCCAAGTTGTAATGACTTAATTTCTGCTTTGCGTAAGAGGATTATCTACGCGCAAAGCATTATGGGAAGTCCGTTTTGCATCACGTGATTAACCTGTTAGATTGTGAATTGGAAGTGTTGCATCTTGGGATTAATAAAAAATCCTTTGTGTATGGAAGTGAATAAGTCATGGATCAAATACGGAGTGAAGATAACGTCAGGAAACGTTCAAAAATAATGAACCGGAGTTACCCAACAAATTAGTTACCGTTAAACTACCGTGTAAAACCAATAGACCGTTCCAAAAAACCCTGGCATATTTTGTTGTACCAAAGAACCTGAAATCAGATCCATATAATGTATTATTTTGTAGCAGGTAGTTATTTTTAAAATCAAACTGCCAACATGCTCAAAATGATACTTCTGTTTCGTAACTTTGCAATTGTTGCCTATGGTATTATAAAAAATATCGAATACAACTCCCGGGATATTACTCAGTTTCAAAGTTCATGAAAAGAAAGCATTGATATTTATATACCACCCTATGCTTAGTGAGCGGACCTAATTTCAAGGGTGATGGTAAGACGAGGCATGGCGCCCAAAAACCAAAGAATATTAGTACCATAAGTCGTATTATTGCAGCATTAGGTGATGATATTGTGATATTTCATGCTGTTTTAGAAGTGAAAGATGTTAAACTATGCATACCGTTTGTTTTACATCCAATAAAACGAATAGTTAAGATGAAACAGTCGTTTAAAGATACAATTTGAATTTACCGCAAGAAATTACAACCTAATATTGTCAATATGTCAATAATTCCTGATCGATGTCACATATAAAGATATATGTAGCTAGATATGTTTATTTTTTTCATATATGCGAAATAAGGCGGTCTCTAGTTATGTACATCCAATACAAAATGAATGTTTACTATTCGGCGATCAGAATTTCGATGACGAGCAATGGCGATGTAATTTGCGAAGAAAGCATCAGTGCACCTAGTTACAGGGCAGGTTTGGGCGCCATGCATCGTCTTTACCATCACCCTTGAAATTAGGTCCGCTCACTAAGCATAGGGTGTATACGAAATGTGTAAATGGTAATTATTTTCGAGCTCGGTCAGAAGCTCTTTTTGCTTGTTTTCATAGCAACAATTATTTCAAATAAACATTTCAACCCCCTTGCATATGTAAAATAGCGGCTAATACACTAATTTGGGTTAAAAAATCAAATAGAAATCATCCGACTTTAATATGGGATAGATAGTTGGATTATTTTCCGAATGCATTAGTATTCCATTAGTATAATATAGCAAGCGAAATAAACCCGACATTCATTCGAATTCGAACGTGTTCCAAATTACGGTGTGAAAGAAATTATGGTCCCCCGGGGATTATGGTCCCCTTCTTAACGGCCCTTACTGACCCTGATTATGTATAAGATAATAAGGGAAAGAGGTCACCATATAAATCAATGGAGAGTAGGACCATAATTTGATAGGACATCCTCCCCTTTTGCAACGGTTAATCTTGATATTTGAGTGCATGAATGGCACGATACGCACGGTGGTGTTAATAAAAGACTCGCTAAAAGTGTAATAATTAGATAGATATAGAATAATGCAGTGCAATTATTTGAATAAGTTCACATTGTTAAAATAACCATATTATCTTAAATTACTACATGACAAGAATTGAACAAAATACAATTAATTCTTAAACCAACTATGGCCACCCAGCGTACTTCAATACGCTTAGTTCCGTGACAGTCTACTTTTCATGATAATTTTTATATTGCAGATATCGGCACAAGAAAATTCCATTCGCAGGTACGTAGAAATTGATATGTTACTATAGAATGTAATAGGTGGTTTTACATGCGTGCTAAGTAGCTAGTTAGGACTTGCTGAAATCGTTATTTTATTGTTATTACCTTCCGTTTGGCACAGAGTTAGCAGTCAAACATTATAAGAATTAATTCACCTATCGACACCTACATACAGGATTTAAGTAAATTATCCTCACGCAGGTTCATATGGAATTCTTAAACATAAATGTTGTTTATGTTTGACGCGAGGAAACTTTAAGCAATTTCAATAAATCGAAAATCGTTGCTGTATTCGAATGAAATAGTGCAATTCAGTGGAAATATTGTTAAAAGGGCGTGCATTCCATACTAGACTGAATAATGAAGATATAAAACTATTAGAACTAAGTATACGATTATTGTTTTGAGTTGAATTAGTGTTATTGGATCGTTGATGAGACTTTAAGCTTGTGTTAAAGTGAAGCAACCGCATTTGATGTAAATCACCTGGTTGCAATCGGAATTATAAGTGAATGGTAAGGTTCTCAGGTGCGAAAAACTATCCAGCCCATATATGTTCATTCACACGAATATTTGAAATAAATTAACTCGATGTGAAACGAAAATTTGGAACGCGACAGGAAAGATATAATCAGAAATGAAATTAATAACTGAAATTCTTTATAGCCTATTTTGACAATTTTAATACTTTATTTCCAAGTATAGAGTTACTATCATGGCCAGGACTTTTCGGTTAAAGCAAATTTATTTGGGGTGGTTCATTGAAAAGACTGATCAATGAAAACGTGTCCCCGATTCTTACCTTGGCATTAATGTCACTATAGCAACGACTAATCCTGCCAGCCACCCGTGTGACCTCATGGCTACTCTTCTCTAGAAACCCTGCAAATATACAAAATAAAAATAACATTATTTGTTTATTTCAAATGCAGTAAATATAAGTGTTTTTTATACACGGGTCTCTAGAGATGAACAACTGATTCAGCCTTTAGGAAGGGAAGTCTAACGAATGCAAATGGTATTTTATTTTCTGAATATCAAGTTGATATTTTTTAAATCTCTTCATTTATCGTCACTAGAAATTGAAATATGCACGTTAAAATTGTTCAAATATGCAGTGGAATATAATAACGCATTATGATGATTTTTCCTATTTATTTTGTATATCAGGACAAGGTTAATTTTGAAGGCCGTTGGTTTAATTAGCTGCTTTATTGATAATTCCCCAGGGCTCAATGTAACTACTAAATGCTACTTGACAATGTAAAGGAAAGGCGTGAATCGGTTTAGAATTGGTTCCAAATTGAACTCGCAACCTCGTGGTCACGGCGCCCAATCGCCTAGCTCGAACGTGCTGGCGCTCAAGCTAGAAGTAGGGTGGAGGGGGTTTCTTGGGAAGTCAGTGATGCTGAAATCCCTTGGAATGCCATCTACCAATGTATATTGACTCGAGAAGCTACAGAGTGAGTAAGGAACAAAATGGGGTAACAGCCCATGAGTGTTTAATTCAGCAACTGTACACCATCTTGTATATTTTGGCCAGTTCGACTGATGAAAATTCATCTAATGGATTAACTGGTGCTTAGCCATTCTTCTATGAACAATAGCCGCAGAATAATTAATGGTTAATAGGTGAAATGAGCAGACGCAAGATTCTACAAATAATGTGTAGGTGTATCATGTAAGGCCAATGGGAAAATATTTAAACAATATGTTCGGAATCCAATTTCGTGAAACAGAATGATCTAATTTTTCTCATGTCATTATATCAATGTACCATAATTAAATAATCCAATAGTATACCGACTTTACCATGCCCTTGGTCATTGTACTGCTCCCCGTTGGCTCATAGACTGTATGGGTCAAATCGACTCGTCCATTAACACCAAGGTGACGGCTTAGACAATGTAACTACCAACATCACCCGTTTTCTGTCTAACTATATAATATATTACTCAAGTTTAGTTTCTATTTCTAACTTGTTTCTAACATTGTTCACACGTTTTTTGACTAACTAAACCGCCGGGTTGCATTAAGTTAAGCCCAATGGGTGTGATAGTATAAATTTGTCATCAATGTTCGTCGGCCGCGGCTGAGGCAACGAAATAATCAACCACAGCCACAGAGGGGTTTCCAAAAGTTGATCGATTCAAACGTCGTGCATTCAACGAGTCAGTTGCTAAATTTAAGATTTTCGCTAACAATCCTAAGTTTGAAATGTTTTGTCTATGATTTAGATGAAGTTTAGTAGGCGTTGATGCAATATGATCAGCGGAGTTAAGAAATTAAATATTGAAGTGAATAATTGTCGACTCAGGATATTTCAAAATTTTAGGTTTGCGCATGCGTCAATTGCCAAAAACTCCTTGAATAGGCATGTAACGTGAAACACTTGTTGGAAAATCCTGAGAACTTGATTGGTTGCACTGTGCGTATAAATTGATAAGCCCATGTGTGGTAAACTATTATCAATAATACATACATGTGAGTCAAATTCCTCAGTTGAGGATTCTTCCAATATTTCATGCCTTTTAGATATTTTGACAAAATAATGATTTAGCAAAGTAAAGATCGAGATTTGAACACGTCCATAGTGAAACCAGACGGACTAATTTCCCCAGATTTTGGATATTATGCATTTGCCCGCCGCAGTGTATTTTCCTAGACACTGCCATGGGAGCACTAGTTCCATCCTCTTCACTTTTTTGACGGCTGATCTAGACATTGTATTACTGTACATCCATGTCTGCTTATATTAACGCCTTTTAGACAAAATGATCTATTCCTAAAACAGCCTAACCGTTCACAGATAATATTTCCAATTTTGACCTCATGGAAAACACGTCGTCTTTGTAATTACGACCTTGAAGGTAGTTGTAAACATGATTCGTAGAATCAAAGAGTGTTATCATTTTCATAGTTTCGACGTCAATGCCAACCAAAGTCTTGGATGACACTGCCATTTCCATGTTTTATAACACGCCCTCGGCTATTGGCCGGGATTAAAAAAATATTTTTCAGTTTAAGTTGGACATTTTGAACACTTAAAAGGTTATTCTACTTGTAATATATTAAATCTAAATATTTGTATTTTAGCAAAAGACATTAATGCGATCAATGAAACAAAAACTTACTGCTTATCTTTGCAGCTTATTTGGTCCAAGAACTTCCCAATTCTACTCTTACTTGTTGATTTGGAAATGTTTGAAAACCCAATACGCGAAAAAATGTGTTCAAACCATTAGTCGATACTTCGATATATGTATTGACTTTTTATTTTCATAAACTTTTAGAATAAACAATTTGGAAGAATAACACTCCAAACGCCCACGGGTGTGACATGTGGAGCTTCTGGTGAGAACCGGAATCGGGACGGTAATTAATTGATTGAAGCTACACAGTTACGAACAATGAAATTGTATAAAAAATAGCAATATTGATGCAGCTTGGAGAAAGAACAAATCAAAACATCGGGGTGCTCATTTCCGTTTTTAAATTCACGAAATATAACCCATGGGGTTACTAAATGAGCAATCGAAAATGAGTTTCGATTATCGGAAACAGAAAGATCTAAATCCGAATGCAGAAGTGCCAAAGGGAGAGGAATATAAATTGTAACAGAACACAGCAAGAAAAGGAAAACATCTGAGAGTACAACATCAACAAGGGAAACAAATCCCAACTATCCCAAAGCATAATCTGAGGTGAACGGTAACAATATCTCATACCCCCTACCACACATTCAAGAACCATTGTCATTATTATCATTGTAGATCATATTACCCGTGTATTTATTAATACCTATCTTGTTTTGGTTATTTGTATGGATACCTACTAATTTAATTACATAAATTATGGAGGACCGAGTATTATATTTAACAGCGATCGACAAAATACAACGTTATTATGTAATGTATGGACATTTAGGTCAATAACTACAGAAAATGTATAAATAGTCCAGTCAGATGACAAACAATGACTGTGACAAAAAACAATACTTGCTATGTCAAACATGGACATAAGGGTATTAATTGAACATCTCACCACACATAATGACGGTTATTACATGTACGCAGATGAGTTTGTACAAACGAATATGTCTTATAGTATCAAGGAATGTTTGTAGTTACAAAGAAAGACACCGGAGGTATGTTTTTGTTGTTTATTTACTCCAACTCTAGTTCGACTGTTAAATTAATGGATATTTTGACCATTTGACTAAATATTTTCAGATTAATTCAAGTAAAACTTAACATACATGTATTGATATACAGTACTATACATATGCGGGTTGCTTTTTTGACGTTTAGGGGTTTAAGCACGCACATTGCATTAAGTACTTGATGAATCATGACACCCTGCATCTAAATGGGTGTTGTTTAACTCACTTTACTATAAGTAAAGGGGCTAATGTCTTTATCACGAAAAAGCAAATTGTCGATTTCGACACGAGATCATGCTTTTGATTGATACGGGTCGAGTTAGAACGAGGATTTCAACGTCACCAGGCCCGTAAGACACTTTTCTCCAAGGGGGGGTGCGGTTTTTAGCTTTTTTTAGAAAAATTTGAAATTAAGTTGTATTTGGAGCGAATTTGCAACCATCTGGTACGCCTGTGCGTTATGAGTCAATAAGAAAAATGTGATTTTTTTCAAATTCTTTTGGGGTGTCAAAGAGGATGAGAGGGTGATGTGGGGTGGGGTGCCAGTAGGGGAGCAAGGGGTTGTCCCCCAGAAACATTGACCATGCATATCAAGGTGCTATTTGATGATGTCTGGCACTTCTGAGACAATACATGAAATTCAGAATATTTTGTTTTGTTTTGTGGGGGATGTGAGGGGTGGCTAACTCTCCTAGAAAATTTAGGGGGGTCTGGGGGTTGTCCCCCAGGAAAATTTTGAAATTTGGTTGTATTTGGAGCGAATTTGCAACCATCTGGTACGCCTGTGCGTTATGAGTCAATAAGAAAAATGTGATTTTTTTCAAATTCTTTTGGGTGTCAAAGAGGATGAGAGGGTGATGTGGGGTGGGGTGCCAGTAGGGGAGCAAGGGGTTGTCCCCCAGAAACATTGACCATGCATATCAAGGTGCTATTTGATGATGTCTGGCACTTCTGAGACAATACATGAAATTCACACAGAATATTTTCTTTTGTTTTGTGGGGGATGTGAGGGGTGGCTAACTCTCCTAGAAAATTTTACAATTTAAAGATGATATTTGGTGCTTCTGGGCACTTTTAAAGTGTATTAGTCAATAAAAACATTGAAAAACAATCGCAATTTTTTTCAAATTTTGGGGGTGTCAAAGGGGGGGGGGAAGGGTGCCAGAAGGGGAGGTGGGGCTGGGGTGCCAGAGGGGAGCAAGTGTTTGTCCCCCATATCAAAATTTACAATATCAAGGTGCTATTTGATGAAGTTTGGGCACTTTAAAAGTGTCTGTGCCTAAAAGTGCCTATTTCCCAAGAAAATTTTACAATTTTAAGATGCTATTTGGTGCTTTCTGGGCACTTTCAAAGGGTATGAGTCAATAAAATTTTTTTGAAAAATCTCAATTTTTTTTGTTAAGGGAGGGGGGCTGCCAGAGGGGGAGGTGGAGTGGGGATGCCAGAGGGCAAGTAAGTGTTAGTCTTCCAGAATCATTAACTTTATCAAGGAGGTATTTGGTGATGTCTGGGCAATTTAAAAGTGTCTGAGACAATACATAAAACAAATTCAGAACTTTTCCATTTTTTTGGGGTGTGTGAGGGGTGGCCCACTCCCCCTAGAAAATTTTACAATTTTATGACGCTATTTGGTGCTTTCTGGGCACTTTTAGTGTATGAGTCAATTAAAGAATTTGAGAAAATCACAATTTTTTTGGGGGGGAGGGGGTCAAGGGGGGGG